ATACAGAACATTCAGGTGGTAACTTGAATTCTTGGTGATAGGAATTGTTGCTGTGATAAAATGAACATCCCGCTAAATTGTCTTTCTTCGAACCGTCCGTGAACATATATTCCCATCCACTCAATCGCGTTCGAATATCATGCCGGAATTTGTAAGGTGTTGATAAATCTAGTTCGGAATATTTCGTAAAGATAACTTCGGGTGGAGAGTTATATGCAGAATATTCAGGTATGAAACATGGATTGATTTGATTAGAGTGCACCTTCTTGATGGTAGGAAGAAGCCACTCATAACTCTCTACGATCAGAGGAAGCCTTTTGTGTTGCCAGTATTTCGCTGTTAATCCATGAATAAACAATTGGTGGATCTCGTTAATGAATCCCCTGCTGACCAGTTTAACCAGGGCTTTATCGCTCAACATTTGTCGTCTCAATTGAAGAGGAGGTTCGATACATTCGACCTCCATGACATTGATGGAAGTGCTATTCAAATATCCGATACATAGCCTAAGGCACTTATTTTTGATCTGTTCTATTTTTTGAAGATGCATTCTAGATGCATTTCCATGAAGTATTGATCCGTAGTCCAATATTGATCGAACGTGGAGCTGATTTTCGATGACTCTTCTCTAACAGACCGTCTCGGGACTCTTTCGCACCGGCAGGCCGTCGGCGATCTAGCTCTTTTCTATCGCTACACCAACGGGCTTTGCTCCTCAGAGCTCTCTTCCATGATGCCGCCGCGCGATGTGCCTTCGGGACAGACCCGCCTGACTTCGGCGTCCCATCCTAACCGTGTCAAACTTTGTACATCCAGAACTGGCCGATACGACCGCTCCTTTGTCCCGAGGGTGTCTAAATTGTGGAACAACCTACGGGAGGAAGCTTTTCCCAGTTCCACTAACCTTAGGCAGTTCAAAAATCGTATTAACAAAATTTCTTTGGGATCATCATAGCAGCCGCGCTGTTCCGGCATTTAGGCTTCTGCCTGCGCGGCTGTTTCGATATAAAAAAAAAGAACTAAGGTCCTATAAAAGGTTAAGCACACTGCTGGATCTGCTCCCCATTTCCGATGTGAAAAGGACTTCAGAATGTCAAAAGCATTCTGACTTCTCTTTAAAATGTATGTAATATGTTCTTTCCAGTTAAGTTCTTTATCTAGCATAACTCCTAGATATTTGACAGAAGTTTTATGAGATATATTCTGCCCAGCCAGAGTGATGGTATTTGAAGGACTAAGGCGAGATCTGGTAAATGTACATACATAAGATTTTGAGTAGCCTATTGAAGATCCATTATTCTCACACCATTCTTGTGCAATGGAAGTCGCTATTTCTAGAAGTTCTATAGATTGAGATAAATTTTTGTTCTGGGTACTAATGGCATAGGTATCTGCAAACTGATATATTTTAGCATCTCTTCAATTAAAAGCTCTTTCAAAGTCATAGGAATATATTATACAGGGTTATCCAAATTAAGTGTCCACCATTAGTAACTTTGTTATTAGTGAAAATACAAAGTTGTTTGAATTAGCAAACTAGTAGCATTTTTAACGCTGGTAAAAATGAGAAATAAAAAAAAACAATTGAGAGTCGTTATTTTGATTTTTTTCAGTAAAATAACATTTTTTTAAATGGAAACCCCTGTATATTATATTTTTTTCTGTTAAAGCATCAAATTTTAAACAAAAAAGCTTACAATAACTTTTCTCCTAGGTTACAAATTGTTGAAGTTATGGCCTCCAATCTGAAACAATTAAATTGTATCGACAAACTTTATTTTCAACATCAACTTATAATCTTACAAAATACAATAACAATTTTTTTTAAAGAAGATGCTCGAAAACACCACCTTGTTCTTCAATACATTTTTGGGCACGTTTTTCAACTGCTCGAACTGTCTTAAGTATGGTCCTACCATCTATCTGGGTTATCTTTTCCCTAACTGCAGTCTTTAACGCGTCAAGGTTATCGTACCTTCGCTTGTAAATTTGGTTCTTTAAGTAACCCCACAAGAAGTAATCAAGTGGGTTTAGATCTGGTGATCTGAGATGCCACTGTATTGGGCCATTTGTTCCTATCCACTGATCATTAAAAGTAGTACTTAGAAAATGATAAGTACCTCTGGAGTTGTGGGCAGGTGCGCCATCTTGCTGAAAATGCAGATGATGTCTACTTATAAGATCCAATTCGTCTAAGAAATTAGTCAGAATTTCTGACATAAATTCCACATATCTTTCACCAGTTAGGGTTCCCTCATAAAAGAACGGGCCAACAATTTTTGAACCAATTATACCGCACCAAACGTTGAAACTGAAACGGACTTGTGGGCCTCTTGGATGTACTAACAAAAGATTTTCTCTTGACCAATAATGGTGGTTTTTTCTATTAAACATTCCAGAATTTGAAAAATTTGATTCATCTGTCCATAAAAGGTAACGAAAGTTACTTACATCTTGGCGACAGAAGCTAAGATACCAATGGCAAAAAACAAGTCTTCTCTCTGGATCCCCTGCCAAAAGCGTTTGAACTGGTCGGTACTTATACGGAATAAATTTGTATTTTTTTAAAATCCTTTGAACAGTACCATAACTGAAATTAGAGTCCTTGAGAATATCTGCTATTGAATTCTCACGATAAGCTTCAAAATATCCAATAACTGCAATTTCCGTGGCCTCGCTTATTATGAATTCTTTTTTTGCCCTTGTTTTAGCAAAAACATTTTCGTTGCCCCTAAATTTTCGATAAAGTCTCAGAAAATATTGTTCATACGGAATGCGAGCGGGATATAATTCACTGTAGGAGGATTTTCTGCACACTAAATAGCATTCTAACATATCACACTTTTCTTCATGGGAGAACATTTTTCTTTAAATTAATGACACAATAAAGCTTATAAACAAGTATTTACACTAATGTTTGACATTATTTGATTTTATCATTGTTTTCCAAAGCCTTCTAGTTGCGAGTATGTCCAGTTTAACAATTTGTCGCTTATCTTAATGCTGTCAAATCGCGAACGCCATGTTGTTTTCATAGCCGTCTTAATATTATAATACTGCAAATAATTAAAAATATTTATCGTTATTTTGACTTTATTTTTGACTTTAGCGGAAAAGTCATTATGAACTTTTTTGTTTAAAATTTGATGCTTTAACAGAAAAAAATATAATATACAGAGGTTTCCATTTAAAAAAATGTTATTTTACTGAAAAAAATCAAAATAACGACTCTCAATTGTTTTTTTTTATTTCTCATTTTTACCAGCGTTAAAAATTCTACTAGTTTGCTAATTTAAACAACTTTGTATTTTTACTAATAACAAAGTTACCAATGGTGGACACTTAATTTGGATAACCCTGTATACAACATGGGAGGCTCTAATGAAAATGTTTCAATTGCTATACAGTAATAACAAATGGTTGGCAAGTTCTTTTGGAAGACCAATATTTATAATTTTACTGTATACTACGAGTATATTCAAGCCTACATTATCATAAGCTCCCATAACATCTAAAAGTATTACAGAAGTATGCGCGTTATTCGAAAATCCAATCTGAATATCAGTTGTTAACTTTATCAGTAATTCTTGGGTAGACCGTCCTTTTCGAAATCCATATTGCGAGCTTGGGAGCAATTGGTTTTTCTCAAAGTAGAATTCCAACCTATTCTTTATGAGTCTTTCGTATGTTCTCAAAACGCATGAAGCTAGTGCAATGGGACGATATGAATCTTGATGATGTAACCTTTTTTTTCTATTTATCACTTATCAATAATTTGAATTTCTCCTAATTGAAAATAGAGTGTCCATTCCTAGGCCAAACCCCTTTCCAATGATTTTCTTTTTGCAAATTTAATAGTTCATTGATTGAGTAATTTCACTCGTATTATATCTACTCGTACATACAGGGTGACTTCGAAGTTGAGTCATTTATTTTAATAGTGAGTAGATCTGATCAAAAGAAATGTTTTTTCCTTCAACATTTTTCTGGTAAAATTAAAGTAATAAAGTTATAGACCTTTAGAAGTTTGAGTACCGCCCTGTCTCAATAATAATATTATGTGCTCGTGTTTGGCAACAACGGATATAATCCGCCTTATCGGTTCATCGCATCGGAAACAAAAAAGCGAAAGAATTTGAAATGCTGATCACGATGTTTTTATTCAGTCAATGTGTCAGTCAGTAACGCGTGAGTGAATAGTGGTGTTTGCTGCGCGGCTCAAACGAAGGAAAAAATGGCACATGTTTATGCGGATCGGTTTCCCAATCGAGTGCAACCAACCCCTCGTGCCTTTGTTAATGTAGTACAATGGGCTCGTGAATCAGGTGACTTAAGACCTCACAGGGGAGGGCATGCCGGTGCTCCAAGACCTCACGATCAAATACAGGTCCGCACTGAAATACTTGTCGGAAGGATACTTTATAAAACAAGGTAACATTTGTCAAGAATAAAACGTCCGAAATCAATAATCATGTACTCTATTTTCCTTTCCAAAATATTCTGTCCAAAAATACCTCGCACCTCGGTCGTAAAAAACCACGCTCTTCTCTTTTTTTGCGTTCTCCTCTCCCCGCGCCTCTCTCGTCCGACACCACCGCCCGCATTCCTTGTCCCTTGGCTACACGGTAGTACCAGTGGCGCATCAAGAATGTATTTCTAGTTTGAAGATTCATCACATTCGGCCATCCTGCTGCTGTGTCTGTCCTCAGATCCAGAAAAATCAGCATCTATAAATACACAATCAATCTGATTTATGATGTTGATGCTAAGTTGCAATACAGTAAGGCTTAGCGTGCTGAACTTTGAATGGTTATTCGAATTAATCAACCATCCCAACAGACACTGAAACGTATTAATTTTACAATGTTATGTTTGAGCTTTCACTTGAGCCTAACTTTAGCTGTTTTTCAATTTATCCTTGATTGGCATTTTGACTTACAATTCATACTCTCTTTTATTAATTTATAACAAAATATAATTAAAACTCTAATTTATATTAATTTAACGGACAACAAAACGTCCCTAAGTAATTCTGTTGTATGAGCCTTCCTTCATCAAATTATGTTGTTGTTTGAGCTTACGCTATCTTAACAGACAACAAAATATCATAAAACCGTTTTATTGTTTGAGCCTACTTATCTCAACAGACAACCAAAATATCATAAACTGCTTTTGTTGTTTGAGCCTACTTATCTCAACAGACAACCAAAACATCATAAACTGCTTTTGTTGTTTGAGCCTACTTATCTCAACAGACAACCAAAATATCATAAACTGCTTTTGTTGTTTGAGCCTACTTATCTCAACAGACAACCAAAACATCATAAACTGCTTTTGTTGTTTGAGCCTACTTATCTCAACAGACAACCAAAACATCATAAACTGCTTTTGTTGTTTGAGCCTACTTATCTCAACAGACAACCAAAATATCATAAACTGCTTTTGTTGTTTGAGCCTACTTATCTCAACAGACAACCAAAACATCATAAACTGCTTTTGTTGTTTGGGCCTACTTATCTCAACAGACAACCAAAACATCATAAACTGCTTTTGTTGTTTGAGCCTACTTATCTCAACAGACAACCAAGATATCATAAACTGCTTTTGTTGTTTGAGCCTACTTATCTCAACAGACAACCAAAACATCATAAACTGCTTTTGTTGTTTGAGCCTACTTATCTCAACAGACAACCAAAATATCATAAACGGCTTTTGTTGTTTGAGCCTACTTATCTCAACAGACAACCAAAACATCATAAACTGCTTTTGTTGTTTGAGCCTACTTATCTCAACAGACAACCAAAACATCATAAACTGTTTTTGTTGTTTGAGCCTACTTATCTCAACAGACAACCAAAATATCATCAACTGCTTTTGTTGTTTGAGCCTACTTATCTCAACAGACAACCAAAACATCATAAACTGCTTTTGTTGTTTGAGCCTACTTATCTCAACAGACAACCAAAACATCATAAACTGCTTTTGTTGTTTGAGCCTACTTATCTCAACAGACAACCAAAACATCATAAACTGCTTTTGTTGTTTGAGCCTACTTATCTCAACAGACAACAAAACATCATTAATTTTTCTCCTCGTTCCAACAGATATTAAAGCAGATAAACTTTAATATTTGGACCCTCTTTAAGCAATATAACATTTTATACCTACCACGTAGTAAGATCCATGGTTTCATCTTATCTGCAGCAACTACAGTCTTATATCTCTTGTAGTTTTCTCTCAGGTCAACCACCTCGTATCGATCGTTATAGAGAACCTTCGTCACTTTAAAAGGTCCCTTATATTTCGGCACCAAATTTCTGTTGGCACCAGTACACGGTGCATCCGTCTTCAACACCATGACGACATCATCCACTAGATACTTTTTAGCTTGTATCCTAGCCTTGTCAAACCTCTCTTTCTGAAAGCTGTCCTCAATGCGCTACAGTCGGTAACTATCGTGAATTTTATTCCAAGCAGATAAACTCTGAACCGTTGTAACGCTAACACTACTGCTAAAGTCTCGAGCTCATAAGAGTGGTAGCGTCGCTGCTCTGGGGTGGTCTGCTTGCTGAAGTAAGCTATCCCATATTTTTCATTATCTTTGAGTTGTATAAGAATTCCTCCAAACCAATAATTAATGCTACTGTAGAAGAAGTTACATTTGCTTAACTTCAACGTCAAATTGGCTTGTCTCAATACATTTAGTACAATTTTTAATCTGTTTAATGCCTCTTTAAAATCACGTCCCGGTATTATCAAATCATCTAAATATGCGTGAACAATTTTGTTCAAATGACCTTTAAAAACATTGTTAATTAATTTTTGAAAAATGGCCGGAGCATTCACCAAGCCGAACGGCATTCGCAGAAATTCATAGTGGCCGGTCGGCGTAATGAATGCCGTGTTATCGTTAGAGTTAGCAGCCATCGGTATTTGATAATACCCAGACGCAAGATCAAGCGTAATAAAATATTTATGACCCCCCTGCATGTCAATTTGATCTTCAATCAATGGTAATGGGAATTTCTCTTTGATAGTAATCATGTTTAAGCGTCTAAAGTCTATACACATCCGATAATCAGCTGTTTTCTTTTTAGCAAGTAGTACTGGACTAGCATACTGAGAGCTAGATTCACGTACGATACCATTAATGAGTAACTCTTGCAACAAATCATTTAAAATATTTTTTTCTTGAATTGACATGCGATATGGGTTATAAATGACTGGTTCCTCCGTTTTACATTTAATACTCATTTCTACTAAATTGGTTTTTCCTAAATCCTTTAAAGTAAATGCGATCGTGTCGCTATACTCTTTTAAAAGACTATAAACGTTATCCTTTTCTCCCTGAGAAATATTACCAAAATTTATTTTATCATACTCAATTATTTTTGTAGTACCCTGTATATCGCTCATGGTAGAAACATTTTTAAAACGCAAGATGTCGCCGGCTTTATGCATGACAACATGTGGCTGATTTAAATAATCGCAACCAATAATCACATCATAAGTTAAGTATTTATCCGCCAAAACGAACGCATTTACTTCGCCGGTTGATTTGTCGATATTTACATTGATTTTGCTGATTGTGTAGCAAGATATAATGTTACCCATAAAACATCGTAGTCCTACACACTCCTTTGTTCTAGTTAGCCGCATCTTTAAACGTTTTGCTAAAGACTCTTTAATTATTCTGCAAGAACTACCTGTGTCAATTAAACAATTTTCAACTGGACTTTGGTTTATATAAGCAGTAACTAAAGACATATTATTCTTTCTGTTCATAATTACAGACTTCGCAATCTGATTACATTCATTTTTCTTGCTCAGTCTACACTGCTCTGAATAATGGCCAACCCTTTTACAATTTTTACACGTTATTATAGGCTTAGGACAATTTTTTACAATATGTGGACCATTGCAATTATACTCTGCGTTTACTGCCATCCTTTCCTTCCAATTTTATCACCTCTTGATTAAGTTTGGACCTGCCTGGAGTCGGTTTAGCAGCAATATGTTTTTGCCTATTTATATCTATAATACTATCTAAATAGTTAGCCAACGTACCTACCGATTGAAAATTCGCAGCTCTAGCTGCTAGCTTTACATTTTCATTGTTTATCCCTTCAATTATACAATCTATAATATCTACATCATTAATATGCAAATTTAATTTTGTCATTTTTGCATATTTTTCAAAACAATAATCACTGAATTTTTGATTAGGTAAATGCACATAATTTGCTGCCTCCTTAAACAATTTTCCAAAGTTCCTAGTCGAAGGGAATATTTCTAAAAGCATCACTTTCATATTACACCATCGAGTACAGTGATTGTTTAACGAATCATACCATTTCCGAGCATTTCCACGAAGTCTGCTTGTTGCTAATTTAATTGTCAATTGGTCATCCCACTGGTATAACTCACGCAACTGATCAACCTTGTTGACCCAGTCTATACATTGTCTATTTGAGGGGTTAAACTCAGGTATTAGCGATTCATCGATATTTAAACTACTGTACTATTCTCTAACAACTTGTTTTTGAATTTGAGTTCTTTTCGTAAACGTTTTACTCGCCTACGATGTCTCCTTCCATCGTCCGTCGAAGAACCTGAACTGGACTGAGAGCTAGAGGATGAACTAGAAGAACTACGCCTTTTCGTCTTCCCCATTTTGAATCACTCACTTGTAGAACTTGTACGGCACGTGAATAATCCCACTTCTGATTTGTCAAGAATAAAACGTCCGAAATCAATAATCATGTACTCTATTTTCCTTTCCAAAATATTCTGTCCAAAAATACCTCGCACCTCGGTCGTAAAAAAACACGCTCTTCTCTTTTTTTGCGTTCTCCTCTCCCCGCGCCTCTCTCGTCCGACACCACCGCCCGCATTCCTTGTCCCTTGGCTACACGGTAGTACCAGTGGCGCATCAAGAATGTATTTCTAGTTTGAAGATTCATCACACATTTTTTTTAATTTTTTTTTATTTTTACACACATATTTTGGTTTATCTTCCTTCTACAATCATTATCTGAAAATTAATGACTCAACTTCAAAGTCACCCTGTATATCTTTCTTTCTCAGCGATTCAGTATGGTGTTGACGATCAGCAAAAAACTCTGCAGTTTTTCTCCGTTAGTTGGCTTCCTATAAAACATATCTTCTTCAAGGCCACCCAAGATTCCTTCCTCTAGAACGTTACGTATTTTGTGATTCGCTTTTCAGCTTCCGTTGATGTCGTGGTGTAGGGGTCTTTTGGTCGTTCTCCGGATTCTGGGATATTAGGCCCGAAGCGCCCATTAATGGACTAGCACCCTTTTCTTTTTGTTGTGTGACTTAAGTTTAGTTATTTTGGGTGCTACGTCTTCCATTTTTTATGGGATTTTGACCCTCAGCGGTAAGTTCCTTTTTTTATATACCTTCGGACCGCGTGCCTTAATGCGTGTCATGATCACGTTCATTTAATATCTGCTTTCTTTTTGTCAATAGAAACAGAAGAAAATCCTCGTCTTTTCTCCCCCAGTCAGTTGCATCGTTGCAGTTTTGCAAATTGGAAGCCATCCCCTTGAAACAACCTTGATGTGAACAGGTAAAATATCATTCTAATTAACAATTTCATAGATCTTTATACATTTATTATTGCTTATTCAAATTCTTAGAGACTTCTTGATTTTATTAGACATTCTACATATTCAAATATGGGGGCAATGCCTACATGGCACCTTCTATTACATTGATCATGTTTTTGATTTTTGAGCTGCCATTACTTTTTAGAATACGGGTATATTAGTTTAGTACATTTTAATCTTTTTTTTTGCCTTTGCTTTACTTTTCTTATACGAAAAAATGTACATGGTTTCGCTTCAAGTGCGATTGTTTTTAATGAGTAGTTTTATCACAGACAGAGAGTAGAGTAGATTTTAAAACAGTCTTTTTTCTCTCTAGGGTTTTTTTTCCTGTTACTGTCATAATTTTTGGGACCGAGGCAAGCAGCCCCTGCCCAGTGACGTGCCCACTACTGGCTTCCTTTTTGTTCTTTTTGACCTGGGATACATCTCGGCTGCGCCTAGCCGTAACTGGGAGAAGACCTCCGCCCAGATAAGTGTAGTTAAGCGTAAAACATATATATATATATATATATAAAGCGTATACTATGGTAAACGCCAAATAATTTTATTTTGCGACAGTATTTTTTTTCTAATATCCTTTCTCGCACTCCAGTGGCGGAGCACATGTGCGTTTTGTTCTTTTTAATCAATACATTGTTATCCATTTGATATCTTGTTTATTTGGCTCTCTCTCTCTCTCTCTCTGTGTACTGTTACTGAAATTTTGTCATCTCTGTTAGATTCTCCTTTTGTCTGGTGGTCAAGTAAAACAAGTTCCGACTAACATCTCGGGGAGTTGTGGCTTAATCCGTCCTAAGTCACTGGCGCTTATACTCTCCGCTTGATTGAGCTAGGGCCTAAATTTGCACGCCACTAGATAACTTTTGCTTGGACCAACCGTCAGATAGCATTCATCATTGTGTTTTATTAACCAAAAAAGCCTTGGCAAATTTTGTGCCGCCCAACGTTTAGGGCCTATCATTTTGAACAGTACACAGAGCCAAATAATTTGTTGAATTTTTTTGAACAGATTTTTGAAAGTTATTTAAATCTTTTGAACAGACTTTTAAAAATTTATTGAAACTGTTGGACAGACTTTATTATTTTATTGTTGATTGATTTGAATTGATTTAGGTATTATCGATTATTACATTTTCTTCTCTTCTCTTGTTGGTGTAAGATTAGTTTGTTTGTTGGTAAGATGGATTTTAAAACGGAAGTTGGTCACCTTAAGAAAGAGATGTTACTTCATGAGATTTTAGTCCGTGGTGTTGCTGTTGACGAAAGTCATACAGTTGACAAGTTGAGAGCTACTTTACGCTCCCTATTAAAGTTGGAAAAGCTGGGACTTTTAAATTTCCATTATATAACCGTAATTTTGACGATGAAAAGGTACAGATTCGGTCATTTTTGGATGAGGTTAATGATACTATCAGTACACTTTCAGGAGAGGGCGCACAAAACAGATTTCTTACCGCTCAATCTAGGTTGGTCCACCTCCTCAACCGCGTTAATCGAATCCCTGATTTAATTCCTAGCGTAGAAGATGAAACTCAAAGAACTGGACTCTTAATCGATGTTTTGGCAGCATTAGATTCTTTAGAGACGGCGTCTAGGCAGGTCCTCAATTAAATACACTTTTTCAAAATTCTGATGAAAATTTGGCTTGCCAGGGGACTCCTATCCATAATTCAACTGTACAGAATTTTTCATCTAGACCTACCATTGTCCAAACTGTTCCACCGAAGTTTCAAAACATAGAAAAATGGAACGTAAAATTTTCCGGTGAAGTAAAACAACTTTCTGTCCATAAATTTTTAGAAAGGGTTAATGAACTTCGGTCAGCTCGCAACGTATCTGAAAAATAGTTGTTTGACTCGGCTATAGATGTTTTCACTGGGAAAGCGTTAAACTGGTTCAGAGCAAACCGAAATAAATTCACTGATTGGGAAAGCTTAGCTGATTTGTTAAAACGTCATTTTGAACCTCCCGATTTTCGAGCTAGACTTTTTAAAGAAATCTTAAGAGTACACAAGATACATCGGAGGGTATTATTGATTATCTGTCCTGTATGCAGGGACTATTTAGGCGTTATGGTGATCTAACGGAAGAGCTTCAGTTAGATATTTTTTTTTGTGAGGCGGGAGTGCGTTTATGCACCATACCATAGCCCGAACTACGGCGTGTGTGGGACTCCAGGTTGTCTTGATGAGACCTCCTAATACCCACTAAACCCTAACCTCCGCGCGGCCCGACTCATCAGCGTCTCGGTAAGGCCATGTGTTGTGCGTGACCTGTGGTCTGCTACAACGTCTCTTCATGTGTTTCAGTCTCTGGGAACGCCGGGTTGGTTCCCTTTACCTCGCACAGTTCTATCGATGTCGTTAAGCGAGCATCGGTAGAGGGTTTGCTATGTTCTCTTGAAACTCTTGTTTTCGAAAATTCAAGACTTTGAAGTCCTCTACTACTTGTATGATACCTGGTCCTGATGGGTCCTGGTCCTGGTTGGTCTTGGTCCTGGTTGGTCCTGGTCCTGATGGGTCCTGGTCCTGGTGGTTCCTGGTCCTGATGGGTTCTGTACCTGGTCGTTCTGGTCCTCGTCCTCTGCTTCCACGCCTTGGGGGGGGATCAACCGCGAGTTCTCCTAGTCAAGGTTCCAGTTAGCGCCTGCCAACTGTGACTTGGGTCTAGGGTACTTGGCTCTGCGGTTGTGAGTCCTCTCGTCCGGATCGTAGTTCATGAGGAGTCGTAGCTGCTCGCTCGGGTGGTCCTGAGCTTTCTGGAAGGTCTTCTCTGCTTTTTTCCTCATGTACTCGTGAATGGAGTCCCAATGCAGGTCTCTACGCAAGGTTGAGTTTCTTACGTAGGATGGTGTTACTGGTGGCGATCCGGAGCAGCTTCATCTCTAGAGCAGCAAGTCGCATGCGGTAGCTGGGAGCAGCGTACCCCCAGACCGCGGAGGCGTAAGCTAGCTGATGTCTGGCGATGGCCTTGATCAGCCGTAGCTTGGTCGCTAGCGGCATCCGGCTGTGTCTACCCAGTAATGGGTAGAGTTGGGCTATGGCTGCTCTGGTCTTTGCGATGACAGCTTCTATGTGATCTTTCCAGGTGAGGAACTTGTCAAATACGATCCCCAGATATTTGACTTTGTCGCTCCACTGGATATCTTCGTCGAAGATTGATGCTTCGAGAGGTCTTGCAATCCTTCTTCGTTGGATGAAGATTGCCTGCGTCTTCTGGACGTTGATGCGGATTTTCCATTTCACGCACCAGCATGTGGTCCAGTTCATTCTGTAGTCTCCTACGGATGATCTCGGGTCGTCGATGCTTGGCGGCTATAGCAGTGACGTCTGCATATATTGCCAGAATTGTGTCAGCTGTCTTCGGTACGTCGTGAGTGTAGATGTTGTAGAACAGGGGGGCTAAGGCTGACCCCTGGGGCACCCCTGCTTCCAGCTGTCATCTTGTTGACTGGCATGTACCAATCTTCACCGTGAACCATCTTTGTGTTAGATAGCTCTGGATCCGTTCGCACACGTTTGCATCGATTCCGGCGGCTTCCATTTTGGCGATGAGTCCATCGTGCCAAACTCGCTCGAAGGCTCGTTCCACGTCCTGCAGGACGAGGCCGGTTGCCTCCTGGAGATTGAAGCCACTGGTGATGTTTTCTGTCAGTCGTAGCGCTTGGAGTTCCGTGTTGTGGGAGGATCTGAAGCCGAATTGCTCTGGGGGAAGCAGTTCCAGTTCTTCTGCCTGCTTCTCTAGTCGAACGGTGATAGCCTTTTCGACTACTTTGCCCATCGAGGAAACCAGGCTGATGGGCCGGTAGTTCCGGTCCTTGCCTGGCTTGGTGAGCATTATAACCTGGGCTTCCCACCACCGCCGCGGGAAGTGGTTAAGTCTCAGAGTGGAATTGGCGATGTTGGTGAGCGCAGCAATGCCTTTGGAGGGAAGGTTCTTCTGCATCCTGTTGTTGATATCGTCCCTTCCCGGTGCCTTTCTTACCTTCAACCTGCGGATGATCAGGCGGATTTTCTCTGGACTGGAGGGATGATCCGTCTCCGGGCCAGGTGGTCGTCTCCTCATGATTTCGGCTGCGACTTCCACGGCCTCCTCGTGGTTGTCGTCCTCGTCTTCATGGTAATTGAGTCTGCATTCCGATTCTAGCGAATCGGCGAATGCTTCGGCTTTTGCTTCACTGGAATAGGCCAAGCCGCATTGGCCGTGAAGAGTGGGGATCGTGGTGCGCTGACGACGAAACTTTCGTTGCATAGTCCAGGCCGTACCATCCTGGGTCTCTAGTTCTGCGCAGGCTGCATTCCATCTGCTGTTTTGGAGTTCCGCGAGTGCGTTCTTCAGAGCTAGCGATGCTCTGTTTCGCGCAACTCTCGACTCCTCTGTCAACAGCTGGAGATGTACTCGCTTGAGTCGTCTGTTCTCCCTGATCAGGTGCCTAATATGGTGCGGTGCTGGACCATGTAGGTGTCTAGGAACTGCCGTAGTCTCGGAGTGAGTGCTATCCTCGTGCGCTCGCAGGAGAGCATTCTCCAGCTCCTTTACTACGTTGTCCAGTTCCTCCGCTGATCGGATGGTTGGAGCTTGGGTGATATTCCTTTGGACGTTGGATTTGTAGTGGTTCCAGTTCGTCCGTTTGGTGGTCAAGCTATCTCGAGTTGTAGACCCTGTGCCAAGTGTTAGTAGGATCGGGTTGTGGTGCGACGATCCTTCCACCAGGGTCTCTATCTCGAACTCCTCTCTGATGTTGCGGAGGATGGATATGTCCAGTACCGCAGGTCGCCCAAGGCCGAATGGAATGTAGATTGGTTGCTTCGGACCGACGATGACCCCAGCCAGGGCATCGACGTGTTCTTGGAGCTGCCTTGCATTCCTATCTTCGACGTTGTTGTTCCATGCCGGAAACTTGCAGTTTAGATCTCCGATGACTATGTGTGCTCCTGGGCCTCTCAGGAGGTCAGCGATGACATCTTCGTCTAGGGCCTCCCCTCGTGGCACATAAAGGCAGGTAATTCTGTTGGGACGGTGGTTGTGATGGACCTGGACCGTGATTCCGTCCCCATTGATATCTGCGGCGTCGTCGAGGACATGACTCGTCAGGGTATGTTTGACGAGTAGTGCGACTCCGCCACCTCTGCCTCTTCTGTCGTAGCGGTACGTCTCGTATCGCGCGAACGTCAGTCTATGGGCGGCGTCCAATTTCGTTTCTTGGATGGCCTAGTATCTCTTGGAGTATTTCCTGGATTTCTGGTTTCCGTGCCCTGAATCCGCTGATGTTCCAGGAGATTATGCGTAGTGATTCCACGTTTTGACTTGTGGTCATTTGCTAGTCTAATGCTTGTCTTGCATCTTGGCCTCGAGTGCATCCAGGCCGGTTATGATGGCTTGCATCATGGCTAGCCGCCTATCATCGCCGTGTTGCTTCTGCGCAGTAGTTCCAGTAGCAGTGGCGGCTGCTGGGGCAGAAGTGGACTTTGTTTTCTTCGCTTTTTCAGCGTAAGATGTAATATTTGAGGTGGAGACTGCTTTGGGGGCAGCAGCAGCTTTCCTCGTGGCCTTACTACATCCTTTGTGTCCTTTGTGTCCTTCTCCGCAAAGGCAGCACTTGGCATTTCGTTGCCCTGTTGGCGTCGTCGGCAGACTGCAGTTGGTGCTGTTGTGGTCCTCACCACACTTGGCGCACCGTTCAGCGAGACGGCAGTTTCGCTGCATGTGCCCGTACCACTGGCAGCGGTAGCATTGGCTGGGCTCGGTCGATCTCTTTTTCTTCTCGAAGCTGACCGTGCGCATGGCCAGCCTATGGACCTCCTGCAGCTTTTCCGCCATCCTCGTCTTCACGAGGAAGAGCGGTAGCGGCTTCTTGGTGTTCCTGGTCTTCATCTGTTGAACCTCGGCGTCTGTGATCCCTTGGCTCACTAGATCTTCTTTGATGTCTTCGGTAGACATCTCCCTAGTAAGTCCTCGAATCACCCTCTGGTCCATCTTATCCTCCTTCAGCTGGTAGGTGAAGAAGGGCCTCCTCATGGAGTCTAGCAGGGTGACTAGCTGACGGTAGTCTGCCGGTGTGTTGCTAAACACCTTCACACTGTTTCCTGCCGTCCTCGCCTTAGAGAATTTGATTCCCCTATTGTTGATCATCCTGCTTAAGGATGACCAATCAGCGGTGCCCTCAATGTTGATTGGTGGAACTCCTGTTTCTGACATGGGGGCTACGCTGGTCCTGGCTTCTCTAGGACTCTTCTTCTGGGTGGCAGCTGGCTTCTTTGGCTGCCTGGATGCATCGTCTTCGTCGGAGGAGGAAACCCTTACCCTTTTCTTCCGCCTGGTGACGACACTGTAGTCTGTGTCGTTCTTGTCGGCTGACCTCTTCTGTTCTTCTATGTCATCCTGTTGCTGGCTGTCCATTTCTTGGGCATCCATCTCATTGTCCGATGTGGTCTGCTGGTCCTCGTCTTCTTCCTGTGTCTTCTTCGCCGCCTTCCTCTTGGCCTTGAGGAGCTTCCCCTTGACGTCTTCTATCTCCTGTTTAGCCTGTGAGAAGGCTTCTTGCAGGTTCTTCATCTGCTCTGCAAGTATGGTGGAAGCATGTTCTTTCTGCTTTAGCTGGCTAGTCAGCTTCTCTATATTCCCCATCGTAAATAGCAATCGTATCGCGATTAAAATCGCAATAAGATCGCACAGTAAGTCCTGGAGGGTCGCAGTCGCACAAGTGTACACTCGCAACGGCTGCTAGCTCGAAACTGGTTAGATATTGTAT